GCTGGCTATTTGAGCGGTACTGACTCTTTCGCAGGAGGACGCACGGCTTGGTCTAGCCGGGTGACCGTCCACGGGCGCACGCTCTCGGCCCGGTTCTGGTACGACGGGAAGAACTTGAACAATGCAAAGGAGGACGCCGCCGAAATGGCTCTGAACTACCTCACAGGTTCCGATCCTGGCAAGTCGACTACGATTCAATCGTCGTGACACAAACTCGAGAGGACAGTGCACTCGAAGTATTGCACTCGAAGAATCATTACCGCAAGATCGGAGCCGGATCGAGATAGCACATCTATGAACTGAGACTGTTCAAGGTTTATACTACTCTTCAAGGTGACTAGGCAATCCAGTTGCTTTCCTGCCTTCAGTTCCATCCAACTCAATCGGTCTTCACACACTTGCATCAGCCTACATTCTTTTCACGTGCTCGGCAATTGCGTTCTTCTGGAATGACCCTGGCCTGATCTAGGACTAAGAGATATTTCTTTCAACCGTGGTCAACTACGTCGACTCAGTTCACTCAATCCGTCTCAGCATCTCAGTTACACTCCATATCATATGAAGCGAGATCGGTGGCAAAGTAACAGACAAACAACATATTCTTTTTGGAAGACTATCCTGCGTTGCTTGCTTTCATCGTTCGCAAACCAAATAGATAACACACCACTTCCTCACATCTAACAATCAAATCGTACCAAGAGCCCCCCGATCTTATTCTCTAAACCGCTGGTACTCATCTCCCCGGATGTGATGGCGCTCAGCAGCTAGTCAGCCTGCTGGAGAATTCCCATAATTATAGTGCTTCAACCTATCGGGCTTTACAGTAGATGAACTCTCGGTGAGCCTTGACATATGATGTGCTGCTTCCACCGCCTCGTTCCCATCTCGCGGTCGCTCGCGATTCTTGCTGGTTTTGCGAAGAAGGACATGCTAGTGGATGACGGAAGGGCCTTGAAGGGCCAAATCTGAATTCGATCATCACCAGCCGCCGTCGGGCAGAAATGCACTGGCTTTTCTCGAGTTCGAATTCATTGTTGCTGGGCAGGAGAGAGTGGCTGAACGGAAGCCGGCTGCTCGCAAATTCCCCAGGTGTCACTGGACGTCGTTCTTTGACTGCTGATCTGATACTCCTGCTGGTGTATGGACAGGTCGTGTCGGCCGCTCGAATCCTCGGGATTCCACGCAGAGGCGTCTATGAAAGTGGAGGTGTTGAGACTTTTCTGTAAGGCGCCATTATTTGGGATCGACCTAGACTTTTTCAGGCAAGTTTGAAATAGTGTAGGTGCTCAACCAAGAAGCCGAAAGCCTTCAAAACGACATTCCCAGCTGCAGAGCTCCAGCCAGATATAAATTGCTCAACAAATAGCCTGAGGCATCGGAGAGCTTCGGACTCAATGACTACACCTCTCTCGGGACGCCCAAAGCTCCTCGGCATTTCTTCAGGTCAACGCAGGACATCCACATCTACTGACAGATATCATGATTCCTCCGACTTCTCCCAGGCCATGTGCCTTACCCTACAGAAGTGGAAACTCGAACAAGTCGACATGGAACCCATACATATAGGAAACTACGGGGGCAGTCAGGACTACCTTCCATGGTGGAACGAGAACAAAAGCCTCCAGAGCACCTTGCTGACTTTACGTGAGCGGATTTTGTGGACTGACGACGCTTTGGCTTATGGAAGCCCGGGCCAAATCTTCAACGTTGATATAAAGACGTTCTTCAGGACGTGTAATTTCTTCTATTATCCGATTGTTGCTCCTTGCAACTCCTACAACAAAGTAGGTTAACTCTACTGTAACGGGCCACGTTCGTCTCAGGAAAGATAAGCTTCTCCATCTAAGGAAACACATCCGATTTAACACATAAAAGGCTACCAATCAAAGCTGCGGCCGCCCGTCTGCCTGATCCCCGAATCTCGGCTGCTGACTATCTGAATCTCGATATTGAACGACGGTCTCGACTCCGGTGACCTCTGGATCGCTAGTTGCATCTCCTGCTTTGCCTTTCTCTTCATGTGGTCGAACTGTTTTTCTATCCCACCCTTGACGTCGAAATCTAAAATTGCGCCATGACCACTTATATCGAAACGCCACGACTCAATCCGGAAGTCCTTCAGGTCAGCGAAGTCCTGTTTGCCTGTCGTTCGGGTCAAGCCTTCCTCCAGCACTGTCTTGAGTTCAGTCTCCATGTCGGTAAGGGTTTTGAAAGCAAGGTGACCCCTGGGGGTCCACGGTATCCTGAGGTGCACTGGGTACTGTATGGTAATGCCGTAGGTGAACTCAACCTCTGGTGCAGACTGAACTGTGGTGTTCATACCGGACCAAATTCGCGTTCCCTCGCCGCCGAGGATCAACCTATGTGAGACAGGTAAGACCGGATCATAGCTTCTCGCTACCTGTGCTTCTGCGATTGACTCTCCTTGAGTGGTCGTAGTAGTCCCCTCGGTTGGGCCCGTTTCTGCGAGAGCTTCGTCCGTAGACACAGCGCGGGTACTATCTTTTTCGACTTGCGGCTGCTTTCCAGCGGCTGACTTCGAGGCTCGAAGACCTGGGACGGGCTCGGCTTCGTCGGCAATACTAGATTCGTTGGTTCTGGAACGAGTTTCACTCGCTGACACTGAGGGTCCGTCTGCTGAGTTATCGTTGTCGTACGGCTGATTAGATGAGCTTCGAGCTGAGCACTCGGCTACCACGATATTCTCCTGCTCGTGGCAGGTGTTGGTATTGTTGTCCTGGAATGACCTACGGCTCACGTACGCTGCAAGACGTCGTCGACTTCGTTTTGCAGGTGGATAATCGCGGACAGAGGATGCGCCTCGTTTCGCAGATCCATGTATCGATGTTTCCATGCATGGTGTATGCAGGATTGCCGCGGTGATTACAGGCGCAACATGTATGGTCTCAAGGTGCCCGCCCACATCGCGGCTGGAGAAGTCCTTCACCGTACGGTCTGTGTCTTCCGGACATGGATCGTCGTCTTCCTCGTCTTGGTCGTCTATCGCCTTCGTTGTCTGCCTTTCTCGCTTCCTCGAGTATTTCCCCGCCCAGTAACTCTGGCGAAGAATAACTCTTGAGATCACTTCTCTAATTCTGAAACACACCGATGTCAATTCCTGTCCGACAGAATTCCCATGATATGGACTCACTTAGTCTCGTCTTTCGGGTACTGTAGTCTGTGGTGCAGAGATGCATGTTCGTCGGGGGGCCACAGCTGTTTTGCGTGTTTATCTAGAAAGGCATCTACAATGCCACCAATCTCTTCTTGATGTTTGGCCAAGTGCGAATTGGTAAAGCCTTCGCATTTCAAACTTCTGGCAGCCGGATACGTGTCTCTGAATTTCCTGAACTTCATTTTGATCTTCTTCTGTTCCCTTGGAGTCTTATAACCAAGGCGTTCGAATAGGGTTTCGTATGTCGGGATACTGGACCATTTGAAAGGAGCAGACATTTGAGGATCCGTGATGCAGAGGAATGATTCATATGTGGGATGTATGGGCGATAAGAAGGAAAAAGTGAGGTGAAGTAGGACTTCAAGTCGATGATCCAGTTGTGCGAGAACGTCGCTCTAAATACCTGGGGATTGTATCTGCCCCTGGTAGCAAGAGCCCACACACCGGTTAACCGGGGTTCGTCTCCTGCTACAATCTCGGAGTCCATGACACCCAGCAACATTTCTCTAACCATGGAGAGGCCTCAGATCTAAACGGCGGGCAAAGAGGTGTTGGCGAAGGAACGGTCGACCGGGACATGGGATCAGCAAGCATTGACGCGAGTCCACTCTGAGCCCGAAATCCCACCTACCTTGCTGCTGCTTCGTCGGGATAAGAGGATGAAGACAGTTGATAGCTTCGTAGTACGGCGGAATGTTAACACAAAGGCGCATTCTGTGATGCATAAAGACGTCGATAGTGTCTAGATTATAGCTGTCGTAATTACATCGCAGCCGCGCAATATTACGATGCCGGCGAAAAGCGTACACAACACGCTAGAGGATCGAAACAAAACATGGTCAAAAATGCCCGGCTTCTGTATCATCCACTCGGTTAGCATGCACCGAGACCAGTTACAGACGAACTTCTTCTCTGAGACTGGTCGGATTCACCCGAGGTGAGAATGCCTCGCTTTGCAATCTCCCACGACCGTGCTCTCCGTCCAAATTGCGGCCTTGTCGAATGCCTCCTCTAAGCCCATCTGTGCTAATCTATTACTACAGATAATTACTTGCCTAGATCTGCCCTCCTCTAGTTATGAACACGAGTTCGGTCAAGGTTACCATGAGATGATACCGTTGGCCTCGGCGTTAGTCGAGGTTATGTGCACCCTCACTGCCCTCTTGCTGATACCCCGAGCCTTCGCCTGACGATGGACATCAGAGGTATGATTGATTGTCAAAGGGGTTTTGCTTGCTTCGATGCGTCCTCTGGATGGTCGTCTTCGCCCATATCCGAAATGATCGTCCGTCAAGACAGCAAATGATCCACCGACTGTCCAAAGGGTGAACAGGCCACTGGGGGTATCAAGCTTTTGATTGACGATCTGCGTCTTATCGATTTCTGGCGATGCGGACGGCAGTTGTCGGAAAGGCAACAAAAACGATCTTTCGTAGCTTAGCTGAACGTGCTGTACTTATTTGACTACAGTGTAGAGTCTCATATGACATTACGTGTTTGCTAGCACTTCTGGATCCTTCCGTGCATCGTCAAGAACCTGCCTCATGAAGGAATATAGCCCAGGCTCTGAACTGTTCCATTTACGTCCACTAGGGAATACTTCCCTTCGTAGCTTCTTGACCCAGGGCACTAGTGGCTGGTATTGTGCAGTGAAGCTCTCCGTAATCTTTTGCTGAAAGTATTGCTCGTCAGCAACTACACCCATCTTGAGCTCAGCCAACGTGCCATCGCTCTCGTAGTTCCACCTATCAAACCCGGTCGGGCCAACATCTTTGCCATCTGCATCATAATGAATGCATATCCAGAAAAGCACCCAGAAAAACGACTCTAGGTCGTGCATGAACGAATGCTGCTCGCCGAGCAGCGCCCCGATTGCCATAAACGCCCGCGTACCAGTCTTTCCCTTGGCACCAGAGGACCCTTCTCTTGGCTCTCGAACTGCCAGGTCAAGATCAATTAAGAAAGCAGACCAGGATGGGTTGCGACTGTCCTCATTGATCATGAGATTGTCGATGGGAACGTCTCTGTGGAGAATGCCCGCCTTGGACAAAGACTCGTGGGCGTCAACGCAGCATACCAGTGCAGCAAGCAATGCTAATCGAGAGCTAGCCATAATCCCGGAGAATGATGCGCCAATGAACCCGATTGGGCGGTACTTGGCACCTTTGTTGGAGACATGGAGCAGGACCGCTTGCTTAAGGGCAAAGCGGAGTCGAGTTGGCTGGAGGGCCGCTTCTTGCTGCTGCCGGGCCGGCCTTTCCGCGGGTCATCTTTCACCATCTTGTTTGGTGGTATCTGTCGTCCCAGCCGGTAGTTAGCGCTGCCGTGATATCTAGACCATGTCGAATGTTGTTCCAGATGTCATCCTCTGTCTCACGAATCCGGACCGTTTCGTGGCGATAATACCGGGCCACATTTACAATGCCTTTGTCCGTCACTTCACGCAGAAGATCGCCTTCCTCATCGTGCTCGGGATATTGCCATGAATCCTTGATGACAAGCGGCGTTTC